AAAGGGTGGACATACCTCGGCCACTACAGAATCAAGCTGGGCTTGATCAATCACGGTATTGCGCGTTTCATGATGGCCCTGGTCACACAACTGAGGAGTGTTGGGATCTCCGAGATGCAATCGAAAGGTATATCAGGGAGGGAAAATTGCGTCAGTATCTCATCCAAACTCAAGGATGGAAGAACAATAAGAAGAGGAAAGGAGGACGACCGATGAGCCCGAATCGAGAGAAGAAGTTCAAGGATGAATTTCGAGGTAAGAAACCGGTTAAAGAAGACGATGAATTTGTGGAGCCCGAGTTCGAGTGCAATGTTATTAGTGGAGGATTTGGTGGTGGAGGTGATACGATGAACGCCAGAAGAAAATACTTAAGAGAGGTGCTTTTGATTTGAGAGCGGCCTAAATTTAAGTTAGAAGAGCCGGAGACACCACAACTATTCTTTACAAGAGCAAAATTGGAAGATGTCATGCCAGGACACGTTGACGGGTTAGTCATCACCGGGACACTAGTTAATTGTAGAGTCAAGAAAATGTTCGTGGATAACGGCAGTTGTGCCGATATAATTCTTTGGCAGGCATTCCAGAAAATGAACTTGGATGTGGAGGATCTGAAGCCCTGCAACACGGCTCTGATGGCTTTCAATAACTGTGACACCATTCCCAAGGGGTATATTGATCTGAGACTTACCCTGGGAACAAAAGAGTCCTACAAGTCAGAGAGAGTAAGATTCATTCTGGGAAGACCAACAATTCACGGTTGGGATATGCTGGTCTCCACTAAGCATCAGAAGATTAAAATGATAGGTAAGCAGAATACGGTTATCACCATTCAGGGGGATCAAAAAGAGTCACGGGACTGTCATTTTAAGTCAGTCAAAACAATAAGCAGCAAACACAAGGAATCAGCCGGATTGAGCACCAGCGGTAAACCGGAAACCTCCAAAAAGGTAGTTACTCCGGTAAACATGGTGGAGCTGGATGTGAGGGATGAAACTCAGATTTCAAGACCAGAACCAGAGGGGGAATTGGAGGAAGTAGTTATTGGAGGAGAAACTCAAATTGCCAAGGTCGGAAAAGGGTTGATTGTTGAGGACAAAGCTCGAATTACTGAATGCTTAAGAAGGAATGTAGATGTTTTCGCTTGGAAGTCCTCAGAGATACTTGGGGTGGACCCTCAGTTCTGCTTTCATAAGCTTGCAGTGTACCAGGGTCTAAACCGGTAGCCCAGAAGAAAAGGAAGTTCAGTACGGAGCGTCGTCAAGTGTTAGAAGATCATCTGAAGGAGTTATTGGAAGCAGGACTCATCAGAGAGATACAATATACAACCTGGTTGTCAAATGTGGTCATGGTGAAAAAGCCAAATGGGAAATGGAGGGTGTGTACAGATTATACTGACCTGAATAAGGTATGTCCCAAGGATGCATATCCCATGCCCAACATTGATCAATTAGTGGATAACTCATCCGGGTTCCAGATGTTGTCCTTCATGGATGCATATTCGGGATACAATCAAATCCCGTTGCACCCAGAAGATCAGAAAAAGACCGCTTTCATTGGAGAAAAAGCAAACTATTGTTATAATGTGATGCCTTTTGGGTTGAAGAATTCAGGAGCCACATACCAAAGGATGATGAATCGGGTATTTGCCGACCAGCTTGGCAAAAAAGTGGAGGTATATATAGATGACATGATAGCCAAATCAATTGATTCGGCAACGCATGTCCAAGACCTGGAGCAGACCTTCGAAAAATTGCGGCAGCACAACATTCGGCTAAACTCGGCTAAATGTGCCTTGGGAGTCCTTGCAGGGAAGTTCCTAGGGTTCATGCTGACCCACCGAGGTATAGAAGCCAACCCGGACAAGTGCAGAGCCGTGTTAGAAATGAAGGCCCCGGGGAATAAAAAGGAAATCCAGCAGTTGACTGGGAGGTTAGCCTCACTCACGAGGTTTTTACCTCGGTCTGCAGAAATCGCGTTACCATTTTTTAAGCTGTTACGGAAGGAGGTGCAGTATGGCTAGACTTCAGAATGTGAAGTAGCATTCCAAGAAATCAAAAAACAACAGGAATCACCACCGGTCCTATCTAGTCCCAAAGAAGGAGAACCATTGATAATGTATCTTTCGGTGGGAGATATGGCCATTAGCTTGGTTTTGGTACAAGAAAGTGAGGAGGGGCAGCAACCAATCTACTTTGTAAGTCGGCTCTTACAAGGACCATAACTTCGCTATCAGAAGTTAGAAAAGGTGGCTTTCGCCTTTTCTAATATCGGCTCGAAGGCTTAGAGCGTATTTTCAAGGGCACCGGGTTATAGTTCATTCGGACTTGCCAATATGGCAGATCTTACATAAACCTGACTTAGCAGGGAGAATGATGGCTTGGGCCGTGGAGCTGTCAGAGTTTGACATATATTTTGAAAGCCGGAAAGCAATTAAGTCCCAAGCATTGGCAGACTTTGTCAGGGAGATTACTTCAATCCAAAAGGAGAGCCCGGCAAAGCCGAACACATGGAAAATTTATGTGGATGGGTCCTCAAACTCTAAAGGAAGTGGAGCCGGGGTAATTGTGGAGAACCCGGAAGGAATCTCGGTTGAGTACTCTCTGCAGTTGAAATTTGAAACGTCCAACAACCAAGCGGAGTATGAAGCATTCATCGCCGGGTTGCAGCAGGCCAAAGTGCTTGGAGCGAAGAGCTGCAAATCTTTAGTGACTCGCAATTGGTCACGTCGCAAGTTGGAGGAAGCTACCAAGCTAAAGGACCATTGCTAGCAAAATACCTAGATTCCGCAAGACAGTTAATGGCAGAGTTTGAGGAGGTAGAAGTTTGCCACATCCCACGAAATGAAAATGGCAGGGCCGACATATTGTCAAAGCTAGCAAGTACCAAAGGATTGGGAAACCACAGGACGGTGGTGGAGCAGAATATCCTGGAACCCACATGTATCATGCAGATATCTGAGAGCAGAGATTGGCGCAGCATCATTATCAATTACATAGAAAATGGAACGCTCCCATCCCAAAAGGAGGAAGCTCGGAAGTTGGTTAGGGATGCTGCGTTGTATGCAATGATTGAAGGACAATTGTATAGGAAAGGCATTTATTCCCCCTACTGAAATGCCTGAGCTCAGATAGGGCAAAATATATCCTATCCGAAATCCATGAGGGGATAAATGGCCAGCACATTGGGGGCAAAGCGCTGGCTCAGAAGGCTCTCAGAGCAGGATATTTTTGGCCCTCTATGGTTCAAGATGCAAAGGAACATGTGCAGAAGTGTGATCAGTGCCAAAAGCACAGTAAAAACCTGCTGGCACCGCCAGAGGAGTTAAGCTTGATCACAGCTCCATGGCCCTTCTTCAAGTGGGGCATGGATCTTTTGGGCCCATTTGCTGCGGCTGAAGGGAAATTAAAATGGTTGATAGTTGCTGTTGATTACTTCACCAAATGGATAGAGGTAGACCCAGTGGCTACAATTACCACCGCGAGGGTACAGCGTTTTTTCGAAAGGAATTTGATTTGCAGATTTGGGATTCCAGCCGAGGTGGTCACTGACAACGGAACCCAGTTTACAAGCAGAGCTTTTCAGGAGCTAATGGCGAATCTGCACATCCGGCATCGCTTTGCATCCGTGGAACATCCTCAGTCCAATGGCCAAGCTGAAGCAGCAAACCAGGTTATTATAGCTGGGTTGCGTAAAAGGATGGAGCAGTGTGCTAAGGGGAAGTGGATTGAGGAACTATGGTACGTACTATGGGGATACAGAACCACGATTCAATCCTCCACTGGAGAGACCCCGTTCAGAATGACCTACGGAACCGAGGCCATGATCCTGGTGGAGCTGGGAGAACCGTCATGGCGAAAGGCTCAAGCTTTATCGCAAACAGAAAAGGAGAATAGTAGCAAGTTAGCTGTGGAGTTCGGATTACAGCACATTGCAAGAATGTCGCGGCAAAGCAACTAGTGGCGAACCGCATTAATAAAAAGGTCAAGCTGCGATCATTTGATATAGGAGACCTGGTCCTTCGGAGGGCAGACATTGGAGGCTGAAATGCAGCTGAAGGGAAATTGGCCCTAAGATGGGAAGGCCCATACAAAGTCAAAGTTAAACTCTCAAAAGGAGCTTATGTTCTGGAAACTTCAAAGGGGAAGCAAGTTAAAAGGACTTGGAACGCGGACAAGTTGAATAAATATTTTAGTTAAATTTTTTTCACTCATAAATTGTAATTTTCCAATTCAGAGTTCAATAAATGGAATAATCCGCAGTATTTGAAGACATAATATGTAACATCATGTGAAAATTAGGAACTTATATTAATTACCATTAATAATGTGGAAGCATGACTTGTCATTCGGAATATATGTATATATATATATATATATTTAGTGTGAATTTAATTTAAATTAAGAACAACTTATACTAGGTACAAATATGAGTGAGTTGTATTCAATATAATTCGAAACACTAAGCTTTGAAGGGTAGGATTGATTTAATTCATAACATATTAATAAGACTATCTTAACTAGATTAAAGTTAAGTGTTGGGCTAGGAATTAGTAGACTAGTACATGAGAAAATTAGTGAACCATTTGGGAGAATTGGTTTTGGACCATTTTCCTTAGAAGGGCCACGGCCCAAAACTTTAAGAGGGGACTTAATTCAGCCCAAAATAAATCCCTACACCCTCTAATCATGCGCAAGTAATGGAACCAACAACAAGCTGATTGCTTGTGGCATTAGACAAACTTTAGTCAGCCATGCCTTAGCATGCGCCCAATGGGAAGAAGAAAGTCAGTATACATGTGTTTCCATTGGCAAAAAAAGGACATCAGCCACTTTAAACCTTTTCCTTCTAGGCACATTGGTAGGAGAAAGAAATCTGATCACATGTTTTAAACAATTAAACCCAAATCAGCCTTGTCAAGTTTTATCCAATGAAAACAAAATGGGCAGCATGCATGAAAGCCTATTGGCTGAAAATTTACACCTTTCTTATCCTCACGTGTTCCTTGTTCAATTGATAAGGTCCATACAAGAATTATCACTTTACTCTATTCCTTCTCTCAAGCGCTGAATGTTACTCTTTTCCCTTCCTCAAGCGCTGAATAAGTGGAATTTAAGCTGGATGCTAACCTTGTAATTAGAAACAAAATTGGACCACCCTCACTCCCTCTTGGCCGTGCGTATTTCGTGAGAGAAACTCAAGGAAAAGCCTCAAAGGAAAAACTCTACATTATCCTCATTTCCTCTTCATAGAAGCCGTGAACCCCTTAGACAAAAACACTCACCTCAACTTCCACCCTATCTTCTTGCTGTTCGGCTGAAGGTACACCTCAAGGAGGGGAGGCGCTAATTTTGTGGTCCTCCTTGTTGTCGTTGCTTTATGTGATTGGATGGAGAACTCACTGCATGCTGCTCGAAATCCAGAGTCTTCCCATCGTTTTCTGCTTTTCTTGCGTGCAGCCGAAGACCCTCACTCAAGGAGGCAAAGCAATTTTCTCTCCTTGTTCAACGCAACCTAAATCTGTCCCGATCAAGCTTTGTTTCGTTTCCCTGCATGCCCATGAATCAGCAGTGACTGAGCCCCTTTCCCTTGCATGTAACTGGATTCAGACCTTTGGAATATAGGAGAACGTAGAGGGCTGTCCCTTGGTTCGATTTGGAACCCTGGATGTGTAGTCAAGAAGAGGTAAATTCAAGCGCTAGCCTGCCCCTTTATTCCCTGAATTATGCGTCTGCTGTTTTTAGGCTGATGTAGCTTTCGGTTTTGTTATGTCATTAATTGCGTTACTGTCTTAGGGAGTTAATTTTGCCATTTAATTTACTTGATGCCCAGCCGTGTAACTAACTATGTGTAGTATAGTACCTGTTAACAGTATTAATTAATTGTGGGGAACTTGAAAATACTGCACAAAGGCTGTGGTATCTAGCTTAGAGTGAATTAGAGTAATTGGACATCTTGTCATAGGCCCTTTTTTTTAGCGCACCATAAGCTGTAAGGTGATAAAATGTGAATAAAAAATCCTAAACCCCTTTATTGATAAGAACCGGTTCTGGGAGGGATTGGAAGAATAGGATGTTGGCATTGTTAACTAGTTGATAATACACAGTTGAAGTCAGCAAAATATTAGAAAAATATATATATAATAATAATAATGATGACTCTTATAAATTGGAGACGGTTTCGTTAAACTTAGTCATTGGTCTAGCTTTGCATATGATAAATATATTATAAAGGAGGTATGTTGTGTGCATCATTGGTACCCTTTAAACCTTGTAAACATGGCTATTTAAATTGATAAATGAGTGGCACCTAATTAATGGACAGGACCGAATTGGTTTATTTAAAAGAGCCTTGGAGATTTTGTTTTGCTAGCAATTGTTGGAATAAAAAAATTGAGGCAGTGAGCTAGTAGTTTTGGATGCTTGATAAATCGAATAAAATACAAGAATGGGAAGAATGGAAATGACTATGAAATTATAGGATTAATATGGATTTTCCACCGTTAACGAATTAGGGTATTAACTCTAAGTTAGAAAATTTAATTTAGTCTAGGGACCATGAAAAACCGAATTGTATGTATGGAAACAGATTACAGAATAAGAATTAGAAGCATGAAAATTTGTTGATAAATTATAGGCATAGCGTGAAACCATTTCTGACTTGTCACGCATGTATTTAGGTGCACGTAACTCTTATTGAGTGAGCTGAATTTTGGTGTTGTTGATTATTGCTTGGACATAAGGTATGTGTTAGGTGGTATTACCTGATGTGACTATTAACTAGTGTATGGATTGTGAATTGTTGCTCACATGTGCCTTATGATTATTCTGCCATAATTGATGAATTATTCTGCCTATGGAAATGTTATGACTATTGAAATTACGTTATGAAAAGAAAGTATGGCTTGGCGGTATGATATCCCATATACATGAAATGTATGTTATGACAATGATGATATAAGCATGCACCTTGCATCATACCGCATTTGTTTTCTGTTTGTGTGTGACAGCATAGCATGGCATGCATACTCCGAATTCATGTTAGCCTTGAAAATTTAGAATAGTTATATACAAGATCATGTGACTGAGCACGCATCATATAGGCATCCCTTGATATCAGGGTACTGGGACAGTTGGCGTCAGTCCGCATAGGCCACAGTGGAATTCCCCAAATGATGGTGTCGTGCATGGAATTTCCACTGTGTATGCAAGCGCACGACGGTGCTATGAGCGTGATGAAGGCGTTATATACGCAATATGATATATGATGAAAAGGATATATGATGAAAAGGTTATATGATGAAAAGGATTTCATGTTTGAAGCGACTGTTTATAATTTTGTGCCTAGTTTAATACTGTTGCATTATTGGTTTTGTTGCCACACTACTGGGATTTCTCTCACCCCTTTGGGGCTGCTATTTTTACAAAATGGCAGGAGGACGTAAAAGCTTTTGAGGACTTGGATATTTGCTGTTGGCTTCTACTGTTTTGGGCATGCTGCTATTGATGTGATGTTTTATGGATAACTGTATGAAATTGAGAAGCTTTTATTACTGCGAACTATGATTTTATTATTGCATTACGATTTTATGACCAGCAAGTATTTTGGAAACAGATGTTGAAACGTTTGCGAAAAGTATTTTGACATGTTATCTAAATGCTGAGTTTTGAAAAGTCTTTGTGAGCACTTTGTAAGTTGTCGTACTGGGGCTACGGACCTTCTTTTCTTATAATTTATATGCACATGTAGCCCCAGGTGTCTAGTTTCATTATATATAAATCTTCTATAGAAATTCTGAAATCTCGATTTCTTAAGAATTTTACCAGCCAGGACATTTGTGATATTTTCACTATTTTATCTCTTATTTTGCGAGTCATGTTTCGAGGGGCAAACGAACTTCAAATCATTATTATTTTATATGAACGTGAAGCTCCAGATGTCTAGTTTCCAGATTACAAAGAATACCTTTTTGAATCGTTGAACTGGATTTTATACGAATTTTTAAAGACAACAAGGTCTATCAGGAAATTTATATTTTTAATAAGTTTAAGGAATTTTGCGTACTCTGATTTTTGTAATTAACCAGATCCCCTCTTTAGTTTTAATTGGCAATGTTAAAACAATCTTTTTTTCAGTCTCTAAAATACTATTAAAAAAGAACTCTAATTCCGCTTAGCAAACAACTCTCTTGGAGGCCTACAAGAGAGGGTGTTACATAATAATTGTGCAAAATCTTATTTCCAAGAAGAAATTTGAAGTATTGGAACCATTGCCCATGGGCGCAGATTGTAACATCGAGGCGAACGAATTCGGGCTTACGGGCGGGGTTCTAGCCCGGCCAAGAACGTCGAGGTATTTGAACCTTCTAACCTACGAGCCGAAGGTTCTAGCCCGGCCGAGTACGTCGAGGTATTAGTACCATCTAGCCTACGGGCAGAGGTGTCTAGCCGGGCCAAGTACGTCGAGGTATTAGAACCATCTAGCCTACGGGCAGAGGGTTCCAGCCCGGCTAAGAACGTCGAGGTATTAGTACCATCTAGCCTACGGGCAGAGGTGTCTAGCCCGACCAAGTACGTCGAGGTATTAGAACCATCTAGCCTACGGGCAGAGGGTTCCAGCCCGGCTAAGAACGTCGAGGTATTAGTACCATCTAGCCTACGGGCAGAGGTGTCTAGCTCGACCAAGTACGTCGAGGTATTAGAACCATCTAGCCTACGGGCAGAGGGTTCCAGCCCGGCTAAGAACGTCGAGGTATTAAAACCATCTAGCCTACGGGCGGAGGTGTCTAGCCCTGCCAAATACGTCGAGGTATTAGACCCATCTAGCCTATGGGCAGAGGTGTCTAGCCCGGCCAAGTACGTCGCGGTATTGGAACCATCTAGCCTACGGGCAGAGGTTCCAACCCGGACAAATTGTCGAGGTATTTGATCCCTCTCGCCTACGGGCAGAAGGTTCTAGCCCGGCCGAAAACGTCGAGGTATTGAAACCATCTAGCCTATGGGCAGAAGGTTCTAGCCTGGCCGAAAATGTTGCGATAGTTGGCCAACTTGCCTACGGGAAGTTAGATTTAAACATTCGTGTCGACCTACCAAATTGAGGAGGGACTTAAGGGGACGCCCTTACTTCCCTAACATCCTTAAAGGAGAAGGTTCGTTGAGCGAATACCGGCATGCATAAATTACAAATATTAACAAGGATAAAGGCAAAATTGCCATATAAAACATGTTTGGATAGACAAACAGAGTTCTCAACATTGATTGGAAAGAAAAAAAGAAGTTACAAAATAAATCGGAATCCCAGCTCTTCACCCCGAAGCATCCATCCGCATCATCCCCCTCACCTCTGCCTCAAACTCGGCACCAGCGACCTCCATGGCGGCATCCATTCCGGTCTCCGCATCCCCTTGCGCAACCTCTGCTTGAGCTGTGCTACTTTATGGCAGACTGGAAATTGATGGAGGAGGATAGTAAACCCCGCGGCGAACATAGCCAAAGCAATCAAGCTGATCAAGCCGCAGAGGATATTCCGGGTTAAAATACCTCATCTGGTTTACCCCATTTTTAAAAGCACTAATAGCGACCTTTTGCAGAGCAGACTGGCTAAAGTCATAGGCTTGCTGCAAATTTTGGAGATCTGACTTTAATTTTTCAACCTCGGCGGTAAGACCGGATACACTCGCACTTCTTTCAGCCAACACGTCAGATTGATCTTTAAAAAACTCCAAAATATTATCTTTGTCGGGGGTAACACCAACAGCTTCGGCAATAGACTTCAGCTCAGACTGGGCAATCTCCACAGCAGCTTTTAGTTCAGCAGAGCCGTTTGTTAGCTCTTCGTTGACAAGCACAGCTTTTCCATACCTTACCCGAAGCTCGTCCAGCTCGGTAATGGCCTCGGAATGCTTCTCCAGGAGCAAGGAGTATGGCTTTACCATAGAAGCAGCCTTAAGGGTGTACAACTCTGCCTTCTAGAGTTCCTCCATCTCGGCTCTAGAAATGATCCCAGTTCCGTAGTATGCAGGCAGAGGACGGATGACACCCCGGAATTCGGCTGTGATCCCTGAATCCCATAAAGCACCTCTCCTCAGCCCGGCTGGGAGTACAGGGGGTGCGGGAGAACCCCGGGGAAGAGTAATTTCAGCATGAGTTTCGCCCCCACTAATCAGGGTCCGATGATGCGGAATCCTGCCAGCCTCGGTGTCTTCAGCATCCCCAGTAAGGTCCAAGATGGAGACGTCGGAATTCACTGGAAACGTAGAAGCAGCCCTCACCGGGCTTCCTGTCCGGGGCCTCTTGGTTGGGGGAGCTTGTGGAGCAGAGGTTTGACCTGTAATAGACAAGATGTAGCCCGGACCTGGCCCCTCATCTTCTTAATCGAAATTCATTTCAGAATCTGCAAAGAAAGACAAGTCAAGTTGTAAACAATAACATGAAAATAATACATGTATCCAGATGGGAAGCATAGCATACTGGCAGGTTCTGGAGTAGGCTCTGGGGAAGAATGAGATCTGGCTACCAAGGAAGCTGCGCTCAGATGACCCTGGGAGCCCACATGATCCAGCAAGATCTTGGCATTAGTCTTATCAGCTTGTGCTAGTTTTAATTTGTAGTCAGATGGCTTGCGTCGGTGATGATCTTGTGTCCAGTACAGTGGGAACTTCGGCTCCCCATCATCGCCAATGAACCATGGCCTCTTTCCAACCTCGGCCACTACTTTAAAAAAATAAGCCTTGAACCCCTTAAAAGATTCGCTATATACGGAGAACAGCTTGCGGGAGGGTTTACTAACTCTACCTCGGATGCTACTCCACCCCTTCAGTTCAAGAGGTTTTGAGCCAGTTCGCGAAGTATAAACAGTAAAGAAATGAAGAAAAAAAGGCACGGTACAAGGAAGGGACAACGAGTCATAGAGCTGCTCGAAGGCAACAATATAAGCCCAGCCGTTGGGATGAATCTGGGTTGGTGCGAGCAGCAAGTGGTTTAGAAGTTTCACTTTGAATGAAGAAAAAGGAAATCGAATCCCAATCTTCGTCACCAGATCCCGGTAGAAGAAAAAAGAATGTGGTTCCTCAGGATTTCGGCCGGAGAAAACAGGTTCGTCTTCGGCAGGAACGAAGGTGTTGAAATCAACCGGGTTGCCTAAGGGAAGCCCGGACACTTCTTCGGTTGTCATCTCAGAGGTAAAACTCAGCACTTCTTCCGTAACCCAGGGATGTTGGGCACGAAGATGATCGGTTACTGACGTCGGACCCTTCTCCGCGGTACTAGTCCCGACCTCTGGACCCTGGTTGGAAGAAGCGATATTCGCATTTGATTCTGTAGAATGGGACTCTATAAATACCTAGAACAGTAAAATGGAGGATTAAAAAGCAACAATAGCACGTAGCAAAAGGGATACGTACCCGAGCTAAACAAACTACTATCAAAGGAACTAGAATCATTAGATGTGGAGACAGGAGCAGGGGTTGGTGAACCCGGAACGTGTGAATAGCCACCTAAAACTAGATTGGCCATGAAGTCGTTACCCCTCTCCATAAAATGGGCACCAAGGTATACACAGTTGAAACAAGGCTCAGGGTTGGGAATGCTACGACGGGAGGAGACTCTCACACTCTGGTTTGGAGATTGAAAAGGTGTAATAGGGCGAACCGGGATGGAACTTAATGAAACCCTGGACGGGTTGCCCAAGTTACGGGGCTCAACATCCTGACCCCGGGTGGAGGAACTGGAAACCCTTCTACCTCGAAGACGCATACGAATCGAGGAGCGAGATGAAGAGGCTCTCCCACGGCCACCACCTCGATAGCCGCCTAGCAGAGCAGCCGGCGTTTCTTCCGTGGTCCGAGGTCTACCAAACAACCAGTACCTCGAACCAGGTGTTAGGCTTTGAATGAACCTTTCCTCTTCTTGTGCATGCCGTTCTTCCTCTTCGATGTCAATTTCATCACCACGACCGAAGACGCGGGGGCAAGTAGGCCTCCCTTGAATAGCATAATTTCGTTCCCCCATTTCAGGAACTATTCAGAGAAAGGTGTGTAAGGAGTGAGCCAAGTGCAAATAAGCTCACATAAAATGCAAGACCAATACAGAAGGTGCAATCGCATAGAGAAGCAGGCAAGTAAGTAAGCTTGGAATAAAGAAGGGCATTATAAAACCAGCAGCCATGGCTATGATTAAATGTAAATGGAGAACATGGCAGAAAAGAGAATCAGAGTGAAAGAAAATACCTACGAAGGAAGGTATTGCAGATACTGGTAGATACTGGAGGATGAGGCTCTGGTAGGACGAAACCCTTCGATAGCGAAGAAGAAAATGTTTCAGGAACGATTCGGAACAGCAACAGAAGCAAATGAAAGATAAATGAGGCAAGTGGTGTGAAACGTTGAAATCAAAGGTTTAAACCCGCGAAAGCCAAAAGGAAGGGGTACTACGGTAATTTTGCAGTAGACAAGACAGTTGAGGGACGTTTTGGCAGAGGCATTAAATGCAAAGATGGCGAGAACTTATTCTCTAATTCTAAAAAAAAGAAATTAAAGAAGAGGGGAGGGGGTTAATCAAAGATATTTGATTGGATCTCCAATCTTTGCCCCCTCCCGTGCCAAAAATTAAAATGAAAAAAAGGGGAATATCAATGCGTCCGGGAATAAACGATTGATCTCTATCAAGAGACCCGCTAAAGCCCCGAACCATAGAGTACTTATCACTGGTGCCA